TTTTTTTTTTTTTTTTTTTTTTTTGGTACCAGGGATTGAATTTGGGTTCTTGGGCTTGGGAGGCAGGTGGCAGCACCAACTTAGCTAAATTCCCGGCAAATATCTGAAATTTTTATGTAATTTATATTTTAAAGAACTTCAGTTTTAAAAAATATGAGTTATATAAAAATGAATTATACTTTTAATGACATAGTAAAGTTATTTTTTCATGAAAATAAGAGTTTTAAAGTTTGTTTTCATCTTCAAAGCTTTCTCCATTTCTGAAGGAATATTGCTATTTCTAGGGGAAAAAAGTTAATGCAAGAGTCAGCGTACTAGAATTTTAGAAAACTGCAAGACTATGATTGCATTAAAATAATAGTATTGTTACTGTGCTCTCAGACTCAGAAGGCCTTGCAAAACAGAGTACAGAGTAGGTTGACAGGGATTTTAAGCACATTACGACCCTTCATCCATAGTAGTTCCTGAAATAACCTACCTCTTTGTGGTGTATTTTATGTGTTATATCTTTCCATGAGATATGATTTCAAAGCTGCAGTTTCAGATTATATATTTAGTCTATTAATATTAGCAGTTCTTTTTTTATATTTTAATAATGTCTTATATCAATCTTCAGTGTTCCTCATCGCTTCTCGGCCTTTTGGCTAAGATCAAGTGTAGAATCTTCAGTGTTCCTTGCTAAGAATTTTTAGGTCAGAAATTTGTATACATAGGATGGTATTAGTCATTATTTTTCTCTGTATTAAAACTCATATGAATATGAAATTTTGACTATTTTTCACTTGGTTATATCTATGACATAAAATTTATAATTGTATAACTATACTGAAATGAATCTGGGTGAAAGAGAATCCATCTGTAAAACTGGCAAAGATTTTTGTGAATTAATCAAATTAGAATTATTTTGTCAGGATTTTGAGAAATATCTTAGAAGAAAGGTACATAGAGTAAAATTAGGAATATATAGAAATACAATGAGAAAAAATTGACAAAAATTTAACATACACTAGCTTAATTTAGAGAGAATGCATGGATACTTGTCATACAAAGTACAGAAATTTTAAGATAAAAATTAGGGGGAAAAGTGAACTTAGAAAAAAGTACTTATACTAAATTATATATTTAAATATTTATATTGTCTTATAGTATTTTATATATCTTTTCTTAAAAAGTAAAAGTAAAAATCTTTAATGCAGTCACAACTCTACAGTTTTTTAAATTTCCCTTAATCAGTAGTAGCACAAGATTTGATGTAAGAAAACATTGGCTTTTGGGATAATTTCATTCTTAGTTCAAGGGCCTTATATTCTGTACATAAGGTGAGATGTGTTTAGCAATTGGCCCAATTTAGAGACAGATGTAGATGCTTGATGTGTTTACATTTAGAGACACCCACCACCTGTATTACTAGATCTTTACTTTGAGCTGCCTGCTTTCTTCTTTTATTTTAACATCACTGACACCAACAATGCCTCTCCTTGTGCCTTGCTAGCTTCTTCTGGCAGTACTTTATAATTAAGGCTGCCATCTCTGGTCCTTTTGGACCCTAGCAGCCAGTGTTCTGTACCACAGGGTCTCAGACCTTGTCTCAGTATTTACGCACCAAGAAGATTTCCTTCTTTGTTGGCAGAGTCCTTTACTCACTATCACACTTTGATTTCCCTACCCTGTTCCCCTCTAGAGTGATCCTCAGACCTGGTCCTGCTGATTCAAGATATTTATTTCCTAATTCGTATTTAAACTTTGTTATGTAATTGTACGTTATAAATAACTTTATTTCTTCTGTCAGATTTTCATCAAATATGTAACAAGTCATTATTTTAAGATAACCAGGAGCTATCAATAGTGCATGTTTCATCTGATACCTAGTTCTTCAGTCCCATTCATAAAGAGATTGGAAGGTACTGCTTGCCAGGATTAAAGAAAATTAGGAAATTGAAATAGTTACTCCTTTGCTAATCCATTTTATGTCATTCTTCAGTTACCTTTTCAAATATATTATTCCATTAAACTGTTGAGTATTCACTGACCATATATAATTAAAATGAATTTAAATATACATGCTAGATAAAGAGGACTTCGAAGAGCTAAAGAGAGAAGCATGATTGGTGCACTCACCCATTGTCACTCCCATTTCCTGCTAAGGAAAAATTTGATAGATTGATGAGCATTCAGAGTATAGAGAATACATTTTATTCATTTTTGTATCTTCAGAATAAGCTTATTGACTTAAACATGATTGGTGTAGATGAATGTCTGTATAATGTGTGTTGAACAAATTATTAAAAATAACTGACTAGGAATAGAAAAATTACTCTTCCCAGTCTTGGCAGCTACATTTCATACACGTAAAATACTGATTGAATTGAGCAAACATTTATTCAGCAGCTATTTCAAGGCACTATCTTTAGTATTTTATGCCCAATAAATGATAATTGGGGCAGGCCCTATGAAAAGTCAGTAGTTTGGGAAAGAGATAAGAAACTCAAGTGAATGACAAACAGTTTGGTTCAATAACCATTCATCAAACCTCAACTGCGTTCCCCTCTGTTTGAAGTGGTAGTAATACAACAGCATGTAAGAGACCATCTGTACCCTCAGAGAACATTTTTAAAAGCTCTTTGAAAGGCACTGGATAATAGTTGTTTGTACCTTTAAAAAATGTTTGTGAAATAATTTAGACTAGAAAATATAAAAAAACATAGAAAACATGAAAATACAAAGTCTACACTTCATTGGTTTCTTGTGTATCTTTTAGAACAAAGAATATATACATTCCCTGTTCCTATGTTTTAGAGGAACATATAAACTATTCCATTACTTTTGCCACATAGTATATTTAAGTGCTCATTTCTTATGAGTACAGTGAAGATTTCCTTGATATTTTGAATGATTTCACGACCTTTCATATTCTATATTTATACAGTCCTAAATAGTTAATATTTGTTTAAAGTGGTGGTATTCTTTGTAAACCAAATCTTAGTAAACAGTCATTTCACTGTAAATGACTGTTTTGTTTCATTGTTGTAGTTGTTGTTGTTTTTATAGTCCATAAAGAACCTATAAAACAATTTTATTTTAATGTTAGGTGACCAATACAAGATTCAGCAATTTAGGTGAATATTAGCTAATTAGGTTTTGTTTTTTAATTTGCTTGTTTTGTAGTACAGAGGAAGGAACTCAAATGTGAAATAGGAAGAAAATGGCTGAAGAGGAAGTGGGAAAGGGAGGGGAAAGGAAATAAGGGAAAAGAAAAAATGAAAACAGTCTTTGTAAATAGGGAAGGGTGAAGGGGTGAAGGGAGGGCAGGGGTATGGGGAAGAAATAAGAACCAAGATCTGTCATGTAAAGGTACAAGATCCCAATGATAAATGTAACCGTATTGTTTGTTTTAAATGTACCAATTAAATTAATGGGGTGTGGGGAGAAAGAGGTATACCGGGCCAGGAATTTAGCTCAGTGGTTCCGCTGCCTGCCTCATAATTGCAAGAACCTGAGTTTGATCCCTGGTACCAAAAGAAAAAAGGAAGAGCTGTACCAGTGAGCTACACCCTTAGCCCCACTGTTCAGTGTAAATTTTAGAGAACACAAAATGTAGTACCTATGTTCATCTTTGTTTTCTTATCTTCAAATATTAGTTTTAAAATAGTGTAATAAATGCTTTAAGATAGGATATTACTTTATTTTGATAATATTTGACTTATTTTTTTTTCATTTTGACTTAATATGTATTTGCAGAATCTCATGATTTCGTTGAAGGGAATTGGCACATGCATGAAACATATTTCAGTTCTCTTCTTTCCCCCAGCCCCCCTTTATTTTTCCAGCATCAGATTCATTTACCTTATAAGACCTTATAAAATTAATTATCATATATAAAAATTGGTTGGTTTTTTGGTTTTTTGGTTCGGGAATTGAACTCAGGGCCTTGCACTTGTGAGGCAGGTGGCACACCACTGAGCTAAATCCCCAGATCCTTCATATTTATACAAATTGAAAACCATACTAATAGGCCAAAGAACATATAAAATATGTAAAACAGTTGTTCTAGAATAGTATATTGTACTTGTGCCATTTTACAGACATGTAGCATATAGCTGAGTCTTGGGGGTTAAAAGTATATTCCAGTATTTCCATACCCATTTTATCTTGAAAGATCAATAGAACTTAATCAGACAAGGAAGTAGGAAGGGTATTGCAGGCAGAATAAACAAGACAGAGTGGTAAGGATTTAAAGTCAAATTTCCTTCTCTTCGACTTTCCTGGTCTCTATCTTTTTTTTTTTTTTGTCGTTGTCTTTTGACCTGTTGCATTCTTCCTCTTTCTCTGAAACAGTAATAATTCTTACATTCATTTCATTGGGTAGAAAGGCACACATTTTTTAGAGCACCTAAAACTTCCTTTGTCATTTCAGTTTACTTCATAACCTGTTTTCCCAAACTCTCTTCTTGGCTTACTTAGTTTATTTATTTAGTTCTCAGTCATTCCATAAAATAATTTTTTAGTATTCTCAGTAAATCAGTTGAACCAAATAACTACCATCATGTTTTCGCATGCTAGCAATGGAAGTCTCTGTTAACATATTTTCAAGCATTGGTTTTGGATTTTGCATGGTTAAAGGCAGTTTTGCATTTTTTTTATGTAAAACTTTCCATTATTCATTGTG